TGGAAGTTAGTAGAATACTGTGTGTCGCATCTTAGGACCTCAGTAGAAATAAATTGACTGTATCGGATTATCCTGGGTTACTAATCCCTCAGGATTTATAAGCTACAGAGTAGTCTTTTATTGTTAGTGCTTGTAAGTATAATAATAATAACGAATCAATTTATCCATAAAGAGAGCTGGTAGTGTACGGTTGTGGTGACATTATTCTTTGAGGGTAGTCATTTTTTACATTCTTGTGGAAGCGCCAAACCCGTGAGGGTCATTGTGCCCGGGGAATGGGAGGCAATCAAGTTTGATCCAAGGATATGGAGTTATACTTGATTCCCTCACAGATCTCTCCGTTTTCTACTCTGTTCCAGCTTTTATTTCTTCATTTTCTGGAATGGAAGAGCTGAATTATGTCCTAAATAATTAAAAAATTGTCGCTCCCTTGAAAACTTAGTTTAAAATGTTATAAAGGTTTGTTATGTCCTGGATGGATGCTGTGATACAAATATTAGAAGCGTCAGCAGAATGTTACCACTGTGATGTATATTATCTCGTGTCTGACAGAGACGAAGAGAATTCGGGAAAGCACTGTGAAGTGACGAATTGAGCTTTTCACTGTAAGGACTCTGGGAGTAGAAAAACTCTCTGAACTCATCAAAGGTATATATCAAAGGCCTGATTTTACTTTGACTATTAATCTTTGTATCTGATATGTTAGAAAACTGAAAATCAATCATCTCTCTGCCCAGTTCAGTTTGCACGAATGTTGTGTCCTTATACACTATTACATTTGTTGAAGTCTTTCACAGAGTCTGTATTATGTTGATCTGCCATTGCGTCCAAAGCTTTGTGATAGTGGTCTAGATTTAGTAGTTTCAAGAGATAGACACGTACTTTTATTAATATATATCCCACAGAACTTATCTCCAGGTCTTTCTGAAAAGAGCCGCTAGTGTAACCATTCAATTACATTGAGTGAGATATGCCAGGATAAGAAACAGAAGCGTCATGCTCATAACCAGTGACAACTGGACGGTGTTTCAATCTCTCCTTGACCATTTATCCAACCGCGAAAATTAAAAAAGGGCAGTTAATGAATATTGTGCCATGCAGCAACTACAGTATCTCTGTGCCTGTCCGCAGAGCTGTCAACAATGCGCTCTTGGACACCTATCAGTTAAAGTCCCTGGACGGTCTGTTGGAAGCTGCGGTGGAGGACATGAGGCTGGAACGTCGGGACGGACGCATCTTCGTTCAGTTCGCCAAGACCTTCAAACAGATTAACGAGAGTAAAGGTAATGTTCAGATGTTAGACGCTAGCGTGATGCTTATTCTATCATATCATATCGTCCTATCATATCCTCTAGAGGTTCTGTCTCTTATTCTCTTGCTTCTTGGCTGGCCAAAACCCTCACTCCCTTTCTTGGTACTTTTTCTCCTGCCCACCTCCGTCACTCTCAAGACTTCATTGAATGGGTTCACTCTCTCCCAACCTGTAAGATGCTTAGTCTTGACGTTGAGTCCCTCTTCACCAATGTCCTCTTGATGATGTCCTTGATTTCCTTAGAGAGAAGGCCCATGAATGGTTTCTACATCTCCCTATCCTACTGATGTTTTTCTTGATCTTATCCGCCTCTGTGTGGACTCTAATTCATTTTCCTTGCAAGGGAAATATTATTCTCAAACCTTCGGTGTCGCTATGGGCTCTCCTCTCTCTCCTGTCCTTGCTAATCTTTACATGGAATACTTCGAGACTGTTCTTCTTCTTACCCTCGATGTGCAACCTTCACTCTGGCTCCGCTATGTGGATGACATCTTTGCTCTGTGGCCTCATGACTCCAGTCTCTTCCAACCTTTTCTTGAAGCTCTTAATAATCTTGCCCCTTCCATTAAGTTTAAAGCTGAATGGGAATCTAATTCCTTGCTTCCTTTCCTTGATGTCCATGTCCACCGCTCAGATACAGGTTTTTCCTTTTCCGTTTACCGAAAACCTATGCCCAGTGGCATGTACATTCACTACTTTTCCTATCATGCTTCCCCTGTCAAGAAAAGTGTTCTTATCTCCCTATTTCTCCGTGCCCTCCGCATCTGTGATCCTCAGTTCCTTCCAGCAGAAATTTCCACTCTTCATAATTCGTTTTCCTGTCTTGGCTACCCTTCCCATTTCTATAGACTCTGCCCTCGCACGTGCTAAACGTAATTTCTTCTCTCCCAAACTCTCTACTCCTGGGAACTCTTCTGTCCTCTGCCTTCCCTACATTTCCGGTCTTTCTAATCTCAACAATTCTCTCCGTCCCTTAGACATCAAGCTTACCTTCCGCCAGACTAACACTCTTCGCACTAATCTCGTTCATACCTCTCCCCTCTACAGATGTTCCTGGTGTCTACTCTATTTCTTGGTTCTCCTGTCCTTTTCCCAATACTTCGGAGAAACTGGTCGATCTCTTTCTGACAGACTTAGGGAGCACAAAAATAGTGTTAGGCTTGCCGACACTAACAATGCTCTTTTCTGTCACGTCAGAGATCATAGCCATCCTATTGACTGGTCTTCTGCTAAAACTGTCTTCTCTACTTCCAACTCGAACAGTCGCCGTCTAGTTGAATCCTCTCTAATACACAACTTTCCTTGTATGAATCTTAGCCCTGGCTTCGTCTCTGTAGATGCCTTCCTCTCCCACTACATTGTAAAATGCTCCAAACTTCAGAACACCCGAGACTTAACCTGACTCCTCATTTTTTCTTTCTTTTTCTTCTCCCTCTTCCCCTTTCCTCTTTCCTTTTTCTCCTCTGGGTTGTCTTTCTCTCTTCTGTCTCGTGTTTCTGTTCCTTCATTTATTTCACCACTTCCCCTTTCACGCACCTCTGCGTTTGCTCTCCCTCTGTGGGCACCTAGCTCCCTTGCAGTGCTCCCCTTCCTTTGTATTTGACTGGCTCATCCTCCTTATTCCCTACTTCTACCACTACCACTACTACTACCTCTTCTACTACTACTTACTACTACTACTACTGATGAAATTAAGACACATGTGCAGCGTCTGGGTGTCTTTGTTGTGGACGTTTCGCCATCCAGTGGCTGGCTGGATGGCGAAACGTCTACGATAGGGCTGCCCAGGTGTTGCACATGTCTTAATTTCATCTTGTCGGTATTGTATACCATTCTTATACTACTACTACTACTACCGCCACCTCTTCCTGCCTATATATAGCCGTCCTGCTCCACTTCTGGTTAGTGTGACTTTGTAAATGGTCCAAGTCGGACCTAAACGTCGTCGTAAGCTTCTCTTTTATGTGCGGGTTATTTGTGTATAATTTTTGCATGTTAGACATTAGTGTGATGGTTGTTCCAACGATATTGTAGATGACAGAGAGTTTTATGATTGTTTCAAAGATATAACGTAGGGTTTTGAAAGACTGGTGTGGCTAAAACGTGAAAATGCAGACGAGGCGCAGTTCTGAGGCCAGAACTTCTCACTTGCTCCTCTTTGCTAACATGAAAACAGAATGATGTATATTGGGATGATGTGGAATGAGAAATTCGATGAATTATGAGACGGAGAAAGAAGGTTAATCCTCAACAAGGTTTGATCGTAAAGGAAACTTGAGAATTGTTACATTCAAACGGAAATTTTAAACCAGTTAGGCGGTTTAGAGCTAAGTTTTAATAATAAACCAGTTAGAGCTTATACAGCGCCAGATAAATGGGGAAAAGGGGGAGGGGGTAAATCTGGTTTTGATTAAAGGGGAAATGAGCATCAGTTCTTTGGATCAAGAGCCCTTAACCAGCATTAAGGCTAAGAAGTATTTTATAAACAAGAGATTAGATAATTTGATTCTCTCTTGGTCTAAAGTTTGTCATTCGTCACCCTTCGAGGGAAGTTTCTTAATGCTGGTGAGGGGCTCTTGATCCAAGAAACTGAACCTTACCTCCTTTTCCTTGGATCGAGCAAGATTCTCTCCATTTATAACAAAAAAAGGCACAATACCAGATGGTGTATGACCTCTACGGGTTTTGCGCGCACTCTCCATGAAAATGAATATACAGTGGAACCTCGGTGTTCGAACGTACTGGACCTCTAACAAACCTGAGTCCGAACAATGTTCAGAACAAAAATGATCTGGTCTTTGAACGTTTTTCTGAAGTCTGAACAAACTTAAAAAAAAATAGAGGAAAAACCTGTTTCAAAAGTATTTTGAAGTGACCTCATACACTGACCCGACTCTGAGAGACTTTTTGGAGAGTCAGCTCAACTTCCTCCAGTGTATGAGGCTGATAATTAAAGCCTGGAAAATACTGTCTTGGACATCGAACTTTTCGCAGTTCGAACACCACCTAGGAACCAATTAAGTTCAAACACCTGGATTCCACTGTAATTTAAGTTTTGCTAATGTCATTTCAAAAAGCTCATTGCTAGTAATCTCTCAAGTTACTTGTTAAAGCAACTGCTCAATAAGAAATTTCTCGCCTAGCTGGTAGGTTATCTTAAGTTATATACACTGATGGATGTAAACAGGAGTCTTCTGGCAGGGTTACATCTGCTCTTGTTGCCACCTCCCTAGTTAAGAATGCTAATAAATCTGTTGAGTTAGGCATAAGAATTAACAACTGGGCGTCTACACTGTAGACTGACTAACTTACGACAGACACTAAGCTCGACTCTTCCATTATTGTGTGATAACTGGTTTAGGAAACCGACAAAGTGAACATTGAGACACTTATGCAACCTATGGATATCTTTATTAAGGAAACGTTTCGCCACGCAGTGGCTTCATCAGTCCATTACAAAGTAGAAAGGGGGTAAGGAGAGGAGGAGTTTGAGGTATTCAGTCCCTCAGCCTGGAATAGATATGTTAAGTCCATCACTCTTGTAGAAAGTACAGCATATGACCTGAGAAGCGGCTTATATACTGTAGTCAGGCGAGTCGAAACAGGAGGCGGCGGGATCACAGTGGAACCATCCACTAGTTTAAGTAGATCGTTATTGATTCTATGTCATCGACTCGTATAATGACTCCAACAACATGCTCACTGGATATTCAAAAATCCGGGAAAAAGGAATTAATGTACAATTGCTATGGATCTCGTCACACATTGGATTACTCCTTCATGATAAAGTTGTTATGTTAGCCAAGAAGAGTACCCTGAAGGAGAATGTAAAACATAACTTTGGTATCTCTGTGTCTAGCATTAGGAGTAATATTAGGAGAGACTTAAATAATGAAAATGAATTTTATAGGAATGCGGTTAGAAATCTGAGTGGATCTATAACCCATTATGATAACATGGACGTAGATAAGTATGTTTATGGAGCAACGTGCAATATGAACAGACTGACAGATGTTGTAGTGGCCAGGCTTAGGCTTGGTTACAAGTACTTCTGGCAGTTTGGGAGACACACAGATGATGATCAAACTAAATGTAAATTATATGGTCAGGCATATGGTCACTGTCTTGAACACTATGTGCTTAATTGTCCACTTATTGAGGAATATAGGGATAGACAGTACAATAACCTATGTGACATGTCAAGATATTAATGAAAATAAGATACCAGATATACTAAGCAAATTTCCTAGATTTGCTTGTAACAGATAAGTGAACTATAGATATGTAGATATAAATCCAAATGTACACCTGTTAACCCTTTCGGGTCCTGGTTCGTAGGCCTTTTGTGTATCCATATGCTCTTGCGCTACCGTCCCCAGGACGGATATGGTGTGCACAATAAACTAGCCACTTCGGCGGCAAAATCTAATCTGTTCACTTCTCAGTTCGTTTCTTTTTGTCCTGGACTCTTGTGTGTTTCTTCCCACTACTCTACCTGCCATCAGTGTTCATGTGGTTCATCATAACGCACAAGCAGCAGTTGTAAACTTTATTAAGCCATCATTTCGCCCTCGCAGCTTTATAGAGTTGTTTTGATAAAGTTTACAGTTCCTACTTGTGTGTTTTTATCAAGTAGAACATGTCAGTCTTTTTAAAATATTGTAATATCACACTGTTGTGTGTTTGACAGAGAGTGGAGAACACTTGATGAGTGAGAACGACTTCGATAACTTCTCACTACGAGAAGGCTACGACGTTGTTATCCGCTGTCTCGGCTTCAAGTTCGACTTCTCCATATTTCACAAGTAGGTGATACAGTAGACATGTGCAACATCTGAGTATCTTTATTAGCAGAGGGTTTCCCCAACAGTGGCTTTATCAATATTATACAAGAGTGGAGATAAATAGGTATAAAATACCGACTCGATGGAAAATTAGACACAAATGCTTTATTGACGTTTCGCCCACACAGTGGGCTTTATCAAGTCACAAGCAGATCGACCTGAGCAAAGAGTACATGAGTGTATATAGTCAGGTAGAGAATGTTGGGGAGATTGTATTTGATACGGACCTGCACGGGATGGCCAAGTAGGTTTGTTATGTAGGATAACGATGAAGAAGTTTCCTGTCAAGGGGTTCAGCTGAACCCCGTGATCATAAGTGTCACACCCGCTTCAGTTTTCCATTTTCCACAGCTCTACTATGCCCAGGCGCTCTATGAAGAAGTCCAAGTACCCGGGTATCAAACACACGTACGAAGCCCAGAATGTACCGGGGCTCTACTTCGCCGGCACCGTAACTCACTCTCTCGACTACCGCAAGTCAGCGGGAGGCTTCATCCATGGCTTCCGCTATACAGGTGAGGTGGGGAGGCTTCATCCATGGAGGATGTGTCAACAGGATGACTGGTCAGTCCAGACGGATGATAGTGGATTGAGGATGGAGCCTAGACCACTTCTTGTTGTAAATGACTCGCACGGGTTTAGCGCTTATAGAAATACAATCTTAAATAAGCACACGACTTCTGCTACATGAGGTTGAAAGTGAAGATGACTGATGCTGTGAAGATGCACAAGGTTAACAGTGGTGGTAACTGATATTATGAGGTACACTTTATAAATATCACAGAACCACTTGTTAATATTTCCTGAACATTTTTTTTATACTGGTATAGGAGAGCCCCTCTGGCGTCCTGCTGCGCCTCAACTGTATATAAAAGTTATATACGCTTCTTTTTTATTATAATAATAAAAGTTATATCGTTGTGGTATTCCCTGAAAATAAGATACCAGACATATTAATCAATTTTCACGTTTGCTTGTAACAGATAAGTGATCTATACATATAAATCCAGATGTACTCCTGTAAACCCTTTGGGGGCCTAGTTCCTAGGCCTTTTGTGTACCTGTATTCTCGTGCGCTACCCTCCACATCAGAGTATGGTGTGCAGAATACACTAGCCGCCTCGGCAGTGGAATCTAATCTAATCCATCCTCCAGGTATCTGATTCATCCCACATGTTGGTCTTTACGTACATTCTGTGGTGGTTTGTCAGCAGACTTGGAAACATTTCTCCTGGCGTTTGTTTTGGTCATGGGGTACGTTTCCGTGTTCTAATATAATTTTTATGTTTGTGTTTCCCAGTAAGCAGCGCCAAGTTTCATATCAAAGTTCCATTGTACTTTATCCCACTGAGTATCTTGTCTTCTGCAGTGAGTTTCCCCATTAAGGGTATCATGTCTTCGACAGTACGCGCCCTCCACCGACTACTGGAGTGGCGACACGAGGGTCAGCGATGGCCAGTGACTTCATATGCTACTCGCGACCTGCTCAACGTGCTGGTGCGTCGCATGAACGAGGCCTCAGCACCCTACCAGATGTCTGCCTACTTAGCTGACATTGTTGTCTTCAGAGAGTAAGCTGGCACTTTATATTGTGCTCATATTGATTTGTCTTCATATACTAAAAGATTATAAATATAAACAGGTTACATGCTTTGTATATACGCTTCACCTCGTACAATATTTGGTTTGCTGAAGGACTTATTGCGTGACCTAAATATAAAATACTTTTATTAAACTTTTTTATTGCTTGTGGCACAATTGTGATGCTGAATTAACTAAAGGATGGCTGTTATTTTTAAACTTAACTTTTCGTCAACTTTTCTCAGTGATGGAGAGACTTTCGAACTATTGCAAGAATTTCCTGTGCGCCTGCTGGCTCGCCTGGAGGAGATGACTGGGCGGGAGGCAGAAGAGGTGATCGTACATCTATGGACTACGGTCCGGATTTCTCTGGCCCAGATAAGGACACGTTTAGAGAAGACAGAGCCGTAGGTGATCCAATGGAAGCCCACCGCTCTAACTTCTTACATCCGATCTTTTACTACTATAAGAAGCTTCCAATAGGTACTAACTTAAAACATGTGTTATAATTTCCTCTCTGGCTGACAGTAGAAACACACTTGTAGCAAGAACCTTTTATTTAAGCAACGGTGTATCCACAGGAGGTTTTATAACTACAAGGAAAACAAAAAGCAAAGGGGAGGGGCGGGTCAAGAAATGCCAAATGAAGTTCCTGGTCCAGATCTGGAGGTGCGGTAACGCCCGGTAGTTTGGACCTGCGTGCCAGGTGGCGGTAATCTGCGTTTTCTATCTGTATCTAAGATGTAATTGGTTGGTTTTGATAAAATATACATCAGTCTGTTTTGCTCAATGGTGTCAGCGAGGTGAATAGTTGGAGCCTCAGGGAACCTACGCTTCAACTTGCGTAAATGATATGTGCCTGATTCTAGTTTCTATGTGGTAAATCACACATGCATTGCATGTGTCATCGACTGCACGTATACTTACGTTCAAGTATTTGTGTCCAAATATGGATATTTTGCTTAAATAAAAATCATCGTATTCACCTCCTGCAATGATGTAGATTCCAGCTGTACCTGTGTTCATTTTAAGTTGAGGCAATATGATTAATTCTTAATTTTTCAATGGTTTTAGCAGGGAGTACTGCAGTACTCAGGATTTACTAACTGGAGAAGACCGGTGGTAGTTGATGCTCTGGATCTGTTTAGTGTTGAGAGTATGTTTAGATTTTTTTATTTTATAAGAATGAATGTCGAAAGGAATTCACTGCTGCATTTTCTAAAGGCACGTAGTTAAGAGTGTACAATTGCTCGTCTTTGTTCCAGGACAGAGGTGTGAATAACGTTTTTCTGTGCACTGTTGTAGCAGTGTTCTTTGTAAGCGGTCGTGTTTACTCTTCCAAAAAAACACCAACATCAGAGTCACTACTGCAGACAAAGGAGCTATTATTCTTAACAGCAGCAGTTACCAACCCATGAGGCTAAACTTAGTGAACGACCCAAACTCTTATAAAACCATCACTCAAACACCAAGCAAGATCACAAAGCTTTCTTCACTAAAACCACGAATAAAGAAACTGATCTTTTACCCACTAACCCTAGACTCGCACACATTTATGCACTTCCAAAAAAACAAACGCATTACGTTAGAGAGCACTCCCCATAAAATAGCAGGTTTTCTAGCTAAACCCTTGTCTAAGATGATTGGTACTATTAGTCCTTCACATCTTAAACATTCAGGCAATCTCTCTAGGTTGATCAACGTCACTAGCAAATGCAAGAAACTCGCCAGTTACTGTTCGTTCACACTGGTTCCTATCAACCAAGTTATCTCCTTTCTCCAGAAATCACCTACACATATCTCGGCATTCCTCTCCCAAAAATGATGGATGTCATAAACAGTATTTAATTGTACATTATCTTCAATTTATTTTCTTTAGAGAATGTTCTGCATAGACAGAAATACAGCATGGTAATAGGTTACCCCATTAAGTGAGGTTATACCTAACTTCTACTTAAAACATCTAGACCTATTTATGAACATCCCCCGTCATAGTATATGGTCGAGATAAGCCGAAGACATCCTAGTCAATGTACCAAATTTATTTTACATTAACTTCAAGGATCAATCAGCAGAATTGAGTCAGTTGAACCTCGAAGAAGAGAATTACGACTCTGCCCTTCTTGGCGCTCTTCTCAGAGACACTCATCCTTAACTTCATTGTTTACAAAAACCCTACCAACATGACTTGCTTCACTACTGTTCACACCACGACCATATAATACATGGAGTAATTATAGACTTTTTCCCACATTCCCTTAGGATTTGCACCAGTGAATTCCTTCAAGACAAACTTCATATAAAAAAATCCTTTCTGTGGCTTGAAATTTCCTCGATATATCATCCATTCCTGTATAAATAAAGCTCTAAACAGTTTCCAATCCTAAAAAGAAGCTACCACTGATTGTCAGCGGATCTTTCCTGCTGTATCCATGACATCGTTGTTCACCCTCTTCTCCAGGAAGCCGACACGAGTATTTCAGTACCAAAACCATTAAAGAATTCACCCTAAAAAACACAGGCACAGCTGGAATCTAAATCACCTCGGTTGTTTTTATGTAGGTGAGACAGACCGCCTTGGTTAGTATGCGTACAGAGTTGATGACACATGCAAGTATGCGTGATTTACTGTTTGTTAGGTAAAAGGACACAGGTCTAACTAATGTGACATTTTATTGTGGCAACGTTTGGCTCACCAGGAGCTTTATCAAGCCATTACAAACAATACATGGACACAGAGGATATATATAGGCTTAGAGTGAGGTGTAATACTAGTGGTATTAGTCGTAATGTTAGCTGTAGTAGTAGTAATTCTACCAACATCAATATAATGATTTACCGTAACAAATTACATCACTAATTGGAATCAGGCACATCTAATTGACCAAACAGTCCCAGCGGAGGCTATTAATACTCACCTCGCCAACACCATAGACCAATATAGAGCGATGTGTATTTTATTAAAACCAATTGCAAACATAATTTTGGAACAAGAAAGAAAATATAAAATATCGTAAGCTGACCCAGCTCCAAACCTCAACTGACATTTCCTGACACCAGATTCGGACTTCACCTTCGCTTGGCGTAACTTGACGCCACCATGATTTATATATTGCTAGTATTTGTGTGCCTTGTATATTATAAATCCCTCTCTGGGTGAAATGTATAAATAAAAAGTTTTGCTGGCTTTCAGTCAATTTTCTACATACTCCCTCTCTCGACTCAATTTAAAAAATAGAAATGAAATTGAGCATATTTTGAATACAATGGCTCGAGACGAAACGAAATCATCCAGTTTAGTTTTAATTTTCTAGTTTACGGGTTGGTTGTGAATTGTTTTAACAAAGATAATGTACAATGCTATTGTAATTTCCTTATTTTATGTGCAGTTTTGCTGGTTTTTCACTTCATGCACGACACTAGTGTAAGAATTTCCTGTGAATGCACTTGTAATTAATAGGATCATGTCAGTGTAAGAATTTCCTGTGAATGCACTTGTAATTAATAGGATCATGTCAAAGACTGGGAACTTTTTTCATGAAAGTACGTTTGACTAGCATTATGAAGCTGGTCTCCGTCGCTTTTTTTTATAGTTATGTATATGTTTTTACCGACAAGTATTATGAAGTTGAGCAATAATGGTTCTTTTGTGATATTTACACTCAGAGACCGAGATGCTGATGAACTGGGGCAAAATGCCTTTGCCTCGTCCCACTCGTGTCCACCACGTGTTAGAAGATTTTCTGACTGATTGGACGGCTCAACAAAGTCACATTCTTCCCTTAAGGCGTTTCTTAGAATTTGTTACCAGGAGAGATCTGCGTCATCACCACGCCCACTCCTGCCTGACGTACGCCCTCACCAACGGCCACCCACCTCCTCTGTGTTCTCTCGGCAGTTCCCATAACGTCTGGAGTATCCACACACTCGCTTCCCCACAGACACAAACATCTGGAGAAACTGAGTACGTTTCACCAACAATAAACTTGACTTCGTCAGCAGTGCCATCGTCATTACGGCCTTCTGCAGCCACATTGGCTTCTGCTACCTCATGAAGAGTCTGCCACAGCTGCTTGGGTGGACCAAGCTTGCATTCCTTCGTATCAGATTCAACGGAAATTCATAAATGTGGTGAATTTCAGGGCAACTATACCTATTGTAAATAAATTCAATGAGTTTGTGATTTTATATTCCTGAGCACATTTAAATACACTAGTATAATAAACACTGACCAGTGGGAAAAACTAACCCACGTGGAGACAACAAGAGATGAATTATGTAAGTTTTACAGTATAGCGAGTCCCTCTTCGACTGAAGAGGGTCTCAGTGCAGGGATGAATTATGCAGAACTCGTCTTTGTTTTATTGCTTACTAACAAAATTGCTATACAGACATAATCGTGATGTATACGAGGCTGTGTATTAAACATTTACATGTACACAAATCTAAGTAATTTTTTTCTATAATTTAAGATATTTCTCCTTGATGGCGGTGAGGGGCTCTTGAATACAGTGGAATATTGTACTCTGGTGAGGGTTAGCTCTGTTTTGTTTATAATAATAATGTACTCTAATGGGGATTTGGCCTCGTGAAGTTATGTTAAATACGCCACTAACAAAGCTTGAAGTTTTCTTGAATTTTCTACGTGAAAAAAAAATCTTAAACACAATTGTGTGTGGTGTAATAACTTCCAGCGGTATAATAGAGAATAAGAAAACATCACTATAATAAGCAAGAATAAAAGCATTATTTTGTAAGAATGGCATATTCCTTTTCATTTCCTTCATATACTGAAAATTATTTTGATCGGGAAATATATATGTTGGAAAGAAGAGAAGATTTTCCAGTAATCACTGAAGTAATTACAAAAGTTATAATACTAACGATGTTGAAGTATTTATAAAGCCAGAGTTGCTACTCAGTGCTAGGGATGGAAAAAGTTCGTCTTAGGAGACAACGTATTTATAGGCTCTGGATTCATTATCATGTATCCTGTCAGAAAGGAAGATATTTGCGTCAAGTGAGAGTTTTTAATATGCTGAAGAAGGTCGCTGTTCAAGGTACTGACAGAATGGGTATTAGGAAGTGGTGTGGATCATAAAAATGTGCTCAATCTGCAGGTTCCAGTGCCATTGAGAGCAGTGAGGAGGGCAGGTATAGGAGTTGATCCTGACAATGGGATAGTAATCATTGTCGTTTTCATCATTTGGGGTGGAGCCCGGAGTTTAAGCCATATTTTAAGATTTTTTTTTTTAAACCAACCACAGAGAAATTATGACAGTTGAAATTGCTCATCAGTAGTAGATAAAATATACCAAATAATTACACTTTCACTAGTATAAGGTATCAGAAGAAATAGTTCGTAAAAGAACAGATTGATCTTTAAGTTGCCAACTATTATGCACTTTGGTTTCTTGTGGACAAATATACAGCGGGAAAACTTTAGTATTGACCTATGAAGTTCTGAACGATTTTCCCTTGTATTGCTTAATATTCCATTCAGTGACACTAGAGATTTACAAGACGTTGTATACTTGGCATCATTGTTTTAATCGGAGAAGGTTTACTAGAATTAGTAAGAAAGTTTATTTAGGCACAGGTACACATAAGTACAATTATCATACATCGTGTGAATTACCTAGGATAACCCATAAAGTCAGAATGACTCATTTCCGAGAGGTATGTGTATCTGTGTACATATACTGGGTTTACCTCAGTCCCTAATGTAAAGTATTCTTGACTGGTTTTGTACAGGTGACAGGCAACCTTAATTAATGACCCTTGTGTAGTCATAAGGCTTTAAATGTAATAAACTAACCAAGCGTGGAATTGTCCATGCCTAAAGCAGGGTTTAAGGTCCACGTTCATTATTATTATTATTATTATTATTATTATTATTATTATTATTATTATTATTATTATTATTACTACTACTACTACTACAATTATGAAGGAGCGCTAAACCCGTAGGGGACATAAGCGCATGAGGGAATGGAAGGCATTCAGGCTTGATTCAAGGAACTGAAATACAGGTTCAGTTACTTAGATCAAGAGCCCCTCACCAGCATCAAGGAACCTCCCCTTGAGGGGAAAGTACATGTGCAGAATTGTCTCCAGGAGCAGTTCTTGTTATGATGGTCTTTAAGGATAAGCAGTTGGAGTGACGTAAGTGGCGTCTGGAGAACAATAACAGAATAGAACAGAAGTGTGGCTCTCGAGAAGAGAGGCTTACGAAAAGCACAAAACCCATGTAGGCCATTCAGCACCAGGGAAATTGGAGGCTTGAGTCTCTCTCTCTCTCTCTCTCTCTCTCTCTCTCTCTCTCTCTCTCTCTCTCTCTCTCTCTCTCTCTCTCTCTCTCTCTCTCTCTCTGCTTCTCCTCCAGGGAGGTTCCTTGACGCTGATGAAGGGCTCTTGATCCAGGGAATTGGTCCTGTGCTCCAATTCCTTAAAAAGTCCAAATGCCTTCCATTTCCCCAGGCGCTGTAATAACCCCTACGGGTTTAGCACTCCACCTGTAAGTGTAATAATAAATTCTCCACTCACTGAGAAAGTTCAAATTATTAACCCTCCGGGTTAATCGAATATATTTTTTTATTAATCCACAGTTTACGTTGGTTTCCGTCTGAAATATTAGTCTCCCATAAAAGCGTTTTCTCTGATAAGAATTTATTTCCCACTAAAGCATTAACTTAAGCTTATCAGTTGAAGCTGACGCACAAAACCAGCTTAGCCGCTATAGGAAGCTCCCTAGATGCTTGTGAGGGATTCTTTGATCCAATAAATTGATCTGGTCTCCTTCCTTCCTTCCTTCCTTTCCTTGGATTAAACCTGACGGCCTCCCATTCCCAAGGGTCGCTGTGTGACCCATGCAGGCTTACCGCTCCTATAATAATAATGAAGACCTGGGACAAAACTATTCGGCTTAGTAAGCCCAGTGTGGTAATACTCAGGATAAGCCAAACAGTGTGGCTTATTTCCCATTGCGTTCTTCAGGTCCTTTTCCCCAGGATGCAACCAACAACTATCTACTTAACACTCAGGTATGTATTTACTGCTAGGTGAACAGAGGCAGTAGATGTTAAGAGACTTGCTTAGTCGTCTCGCCCTGCCCAGAGTTGAACATGGGTCCTTTTGGTTGTGAGCAGGGTACTGCAAACTGCCCCCCCCCCCAAAAAAAAAAAAACTAGGGTAGAAACATTGGGCGTATTGACTCACGAAATCGTAATGACACGATTGCAAACAAACCATACCCCGGCCGGGATTGAACCCGCGGTCAGAGAGTCTCAAAACTAACGCGACGGTCTGGAGTTTTGAGACTCTCTGACCGCGGGTTCAATCCCGGCCGGGGTATGGTTTGCATTGGGCGTGTTTCTTTACACCGGTTGTCTATGTTCACCCATCAGTAAAATGGGTACCTGGGTGTTAGTCGACTGGTGTGGGTCACATCCTGGGAGAAAAATGACCTAATTTGCTCGAAATGGTCTACATAACAAGCGGCTTTCTGTATAGTAATATGTCATTGATGTCAGCTAGGACTGTATACCTTGTATATGTACTTGTGGAAATAAAGATATTATTATTATTATTATTGAAAAAATGCAAATTATTCGAAGGCACCAACACAATTGCTCTTTGTGAATTCTGATCATCAGTGCTTCAGATTTTGAAAGTTCAAAATTATTATTATTATTATAATCACAGTTTAAGCGGTCTAAACCCGATGGATTTATACAGGCTCGAGGGAAGGAATGTAGAAGGCACTTCAGCTTAATTCGGGACAGCTGGAGCACAGATCCAATGGCCTAAACTTCAAGAGCCTCACAACATCAAGGACACTGTCTTAGGCTGGTTCAAAACTATAACCAACTGGATATAAATTTCAGTTTTTTATAAGTTTTGGTGCAAAAATTATTTTTTACTAATGTCTGACGGTTAGCACACAGAACAAAAACATAACATAAAGAATGGACACTGCAGCAGGTCTACTGGCCCATGCTAGGCAGGTCCAAATCATCCAATGGCCTAAACTTAGTCAGGTCCACTGAAGAATGAAGGAGCACTGTATCAGGCCTATTGGATCAAGCTAGTCAGGCCAACGGACATAGTTTTGCAGTTTTCTTTCGTACCTCGTGTTTTCAAAAAAAATCTATAGTAATGTACAGAGAACCTTCAGGGCACACATAACTGCGATAAAACACCTCAGTTACTGGGAATGCTTGAAGTTCCTCAAACTGTACACCCTAGAACGCAGGCGGGAGAGATACATGATTATGTACACTTGGAAAATCCTAGAGTGATTAGTAAGATAAGATAAGATTTCGTTCGGATTTTTAACCCCGGAGGGTTAGCCACCCAGGATAACCCAAGAAAGTCAGTGCGTCATCGAGGACTGCCTAGCCATGCTAGGTGTTCTAGTGGTACACTCTGTAATTATTATTTTACTACATGTAAACCACACAGTAACCAAATTCTGTAAACTCAGCATTGTAATCCTTATAGAGAATAAACTTTGAATTGGGGTCCTCAATCTTGTCCCCCAGGATGCGACCCACACCAGTCGACTAACACCCAGGTACCTATTTGCTGCTAGGTGAATAGAACAATAGTGTAAGGAAACGTGTCGAAATGTTTCCACCCGCCGGGAATCGAACCCGGGCCCTCCGTGTGTGAAGCTGGAACTTTAGCCACCAGGCCACAAACTTGCACACGAAAATCACTCCCTGTGAAAGCAAAAGACTCGGCAGACGATGCAACATCCCCCCAATGTAAAGCAGTGGTGCTACTAGTACGATAAGAGACAACACAATAAGTGTCAGGGGGCCAAGACTGTTCAATTGCCTTCTGGCATACATCAGGGGGATTACCAATAGACCCCTGGCTGACTTCAAGAAGGCGCTGGACAGGCACCTAAAGTCAGTACCTGAGCAGCCGGGCTGTGGTTCCTACGTCGGGTTGCGTGCGGCCAACAGGAACAGCTTGGTTGATCAGACCCTGATCCATGCGGGGGCGTTGACCTCCGAAACCCTCTCCAGGTATACTAATATGAAAGACTAATACATTAAGTATTTGTGTTATGACCAGTAATAACATAGGTTTAATTTAATGTTGAGGAATTTTCTGCCTAATTAGTGAAGCTGTGAAAAGGGGAATATTCTAATATGTTGAGCTATGAATGGTCAACATGTATTGGCCAGTAGGCCTGCAGCAGTGCTCTTTCATTCTTAAGTGGGTGGGATTTGAATGTGCCTAGTGTGAGTCAGTAGGCTTGCAGAAGTGCTCTTTCCCTCCTATGTTTTTATCACTTACTGGTCACATGGCGAAAATAAATAAGAGTAGTTGGAGGTTATTCCTATCTCAGCTTTTGAACAAAAAATAAATATAATGTAACAAAACATTAGAAGCACAAGAACAGACGGCCAGGAGCTGAGATTCGACACCGGAAGCCACATATAGATGAATAGTGAGGAACACTGCAGCAGGCCTACTGGGCGATACTGGTTTAGTTTAATATGGTTATTATGCACCCCATATTCATCACTCCTTCCTCAAGCACCCTCCTTCCCTCCAGCATCTTTCATCCCTTCCTTCAGTACCCCTTCTTCCCTTCCTCCATCACCCTCCTTCCTTCAGCACCTTTCAACGAGTCCTCCCTGTCTCCTTCTCCAAAGACCCCTCCATCGTCCCTCCTTCCAGCACCTCCCAGTTTCTTACAAGGCAATGATCCGAAGGTAATGAAGTCATACATGAATTGAAGTATTAT